GGGAAAGAGGACAGACTTTGGTGTTATAGAATGTATGTCAGTACATTAAGCTTGTCAAATACAAGTGTTTGTCATTGTATTCACTGCTCTAACCTCAGCCCCTCAACGAAGCCTGGCCCTTGATAAATATTTCTTGAATTAACATATGGGAGAATGAGGGTTTTTCTATGTGTCACGTGCTGTAATCTTCCCGGCCGTTGTAAACTACAAGGGAATCTCACCCATTTCGTGTGTGAGGAAACTGAGGGCTGAAGGGATTAAGTCACTTGCCTGATGTCCCACAGTGCTGATGGGACTTAAGTTCAGGAACCAGAGTTTAAATCCAGGTCCCCACCTAGCAGTTCCTAAGAGCAAACATTCTCTGCTGAGAGCATTCCCTCAAGCTACTCTCTCAGGGGTCTGACTCCCTCTTCCTAACAAATGGAGTCCACTGCCAGGACATTAGACTCGCAGTGTATGAGTGTGTGTGTGTGTGTGTGTGTGTGTGTGTGTCCTCTGAGGAGGTACAGTTGAATCTCAGTGGCTGGGAGCCACTTACCCCATAGTCTGTCTTTTCCAGAAGAGCCAAGGTAGGTCAGAAACCAACACATCCTGGGGGTTTGTCATCACTGTTTTCGGTGTATCCGCGTCTCACAGGCCATGCGGATGCAGACGGAGATGGAGCTGCGCATGTTCCGACAGAACGAGTTCATGTACCACAAGATGCGCGAGGCTGCCCTGAACAACCAGCCCATGCAGGTCATGGCTGAACCCAGCAATGAGCCGGCGCCGGCTCTGTTCCACAAGAAGCAATGAGGACCTGCCTGGTGGGAGAGGGGCGCCGTGGCCGGGGAACTGGGGAGACATTCCGGAGGTGGTGGGTTTCTGGGGGAGACCCTTGATGAGGAAACCAGCGTAACGCTCAGCCTTGTTGCCGCGGGAGTGTCCTGCTCTTTTTTCCCAGTGTCATTTCGGTTCATTTCAACTCAGTTCAATTCAATTTAACCCTATCCCAGACCAATCCAACTCCTCCTACAAATATTTATTGGGATAAATATTTATAGGGATAAAGAAGCTCCAAATGTAGCTGGAGAGGCAAAATGTAAACAATTAAAGCGCAGTGTGATAATAAATGCAATGGTAAACTCTATGGAGAGAGGGGGTCCAGTGGAGGGCATGTGTCTGGTGTGTGTGTGTATGTGTGTGTGTGTGTAGTGGTGAGGGTGTCATGGAGGAGGTGACATCTGAGCTAAGGGTGGCAGGTACCTGGAGTCTCAGGTGGCCGCTCACCTATCTGTGCAGGTGTGTCTGGAATATTCAGGATTTGCTGACTGGGATGGGTGATGTTCAGTTTCCTCAGGCGAGTGTGGAGTTATGAAGAAGAGACCGTCTTTGGGCCTTTTAGGTTCCGCCCAGAGAACCGAAACGTCCTCAGAAGGGCACGTATGCAGAAGGAGGGCTTTGCCCAAACCACCTGAGGCCTCAGTTTAAAGCCTGGGTTCCCAGCATTATTCTGAAACTATCTCTAGAACACAGAGAGGGCGTGTTTCCTTTCCACACCCTCCCTCCCAAGCCTTGTGATTCCCGTGACGTGGGGCTACTTGGATAATAGCTGAGATTTTTCTGGTCACTGGCCTCCTAGGATAGGAGAAGTCTCTTCAGGGTGAAGTTGAGGGAGAAACTTGGAAACCCATGTAGCTGATGATCATGGGTCCAGCGGAATTGGCCTTTACCAGCTTAGACTTCATCACTGGCCCCCAGTAAATCTCTATTTATTAGTAATGAATAATTATGACTTCCCTTGCTTGCTTGCTTTCATTGTCCATTCCCTGGGTCCTCTGCTTTCCTTACCAGAAGGAATGTCTAGTCTGGACTCTGCACACCTAGGTGAGGACCTCTCTGGGAGTGTGACCAACTTACCCTCATCTCCTGGGAGGCTGCTCTGGTTTCCACCCAAGAATGTGGGTCTTGGGAATCAACCAGTCTAGTTGTCCCATTGGCCTGTTATCTTCTGGGATCCCAAACTTCTCACGAATGTTCTAGGGGATCCTGGACAAAAGCCCCCCCGCCCCCATTTGAGAGTGTCACCAAGTCTTCTCTACTCTCTGGGGCCACCCTTGACCCCAGAGCTCTAGCTAACATCTTGAGGTCAGGTGATCCCATCAGGCCCCATATTTGTCATCTGTGCCTAAAGTGTCAGTTCCTCCATCCCCACCCTTTCTTCCTCAGAATGATCCACTGCCTCCCTTGTAACCTGACCAACAGCTCTGCCAATGTGCCAAAAACTTTGTCCAAAAACTCTGCAAAGGTGCCACTCCTTTGCAGAATACTGGTACCTGGCACTTGGCTCTTCATTGAGGACACCTGCTGCTTCAGAACTTTCACAGGGAGACTGACAGTTCGTCTAAGCTCATGTAAGGATGGCACCAGCCCTCTGCCAGGGACCTAACTGTGCCAGTTCAAATGGTTCTCTTCTATCCTCATATGAAACCTTCCCCCAAACCTCTTCCCTTCCATGTCACTGTCACCTGCCACACCGCAGGTCAGTCCCCCACATTCAAGGTCTTCTTTTCCGTCCCCTCTTCGTCAGATTTGGTGTCTTCGAAGTCCACTTTCACAAACCATCTAAACCACTTGTTTTAAAGATTCTTCATTTACTCAGTTCCAGGTGTCTTTCCATTTCCTCCATTAAAACCCTCTCTTAGTTACACCCTGGACACTATCATCCCCCATAATTCCTCCATTTTTTGGCCGCCCTCTGTGGCATGCGGCATCCTAGCTCCCCGACCAGGGATCGAACCTGTGCCCTCGTGCAGTGGAAGGGCGGAGTCTTAACCACCGGACCGCCAGGGAATTCCCAATTGCTTCATCTTTGATGTCTAACTCTCTGGTCATTGCTTCCCATCTGTTCACTTCTCTTTTTCCTCCACCCCTGATTACCAGATGGCATCGTATTTTCTCCAGTGTGTCCCCCTCCTCCTGTCTTCACAACCTTCCAGATAACCAGGGCATCAGCCTCTTTTCCTTTTTGCCCATCCCCCCTTCCTACTCGGCAGAGTCCGGGCCTGGATGAATTCAGCTCTCTTGTTTTTCCTCTGTTGCACCCGGAGGTCTGAGCACAGCCAGGAAAATGGCACCTCTCAGCTCAGGCGCATCCACGGCGTCTTCTCCAACCTCAGCTGGCCTTGGGGTGCAGCCCAGGCATGCTCCCTGTGCTCCTCGTTGGCTCTCCCTTTGCCCAGTGGTTATTTCAGGTCTTCACTCCCATCCTCGAGCGAGTCCTCTGCTTTCAGCAGAACCTCATCTCCTGCTTCACCGAGAGGCCAGGAGATGGGATTCCTCAATTTCCACTTCCCACTTTCACACATGTTGTGTCTGTGCTTCTTCCAGCTTCCGTCTCACACCAGTGGAATGAGAGCTCCTGTCCTCCAAAGCCAAACGCTCCACCTGTGCTTTGGACCCCATCCCCTCCTAGGTCCTTGGGGCCTTGCTTCCCGTTTATTCCTTCTCACCCTGGATTCTTCACACTTCTCTGTCTACTGGCTTCTTCAAAGCAGTTAATAGACGTGCTGGGGACACTCTGATTGTAATCTTCAAGGCTGAGTATATTTTAAAAATGACTTTGTCTCCCACAGTTATTATCTGCCTTTCTTTACTTTCCATTTCTTCCTGAACCCACTGCAGCCTGGCTTCCTGAGTCCGTGAATGTGACTCTTCCCACGGTTGACTCTTGGGGGGACTTTTCAGCCCTCATGTTATTTGGCTTCTCTGCCTCAGTTGGCACCACATCCTCTGCGATGATCCTCTAATGAGGCCCCGTTTCTCTCCTGCCCCTGATAGGCTGGCGTTTCCTGGAGCTGGTTTTGTTCATTCAGATCACTCTCAGTTTGTCCTCATCTCTCTCTGCACACCCTCCCCCATGAGCTCGGCCAGGCCCTTCATTTAATCACTGTCTTGAGGCTGATGTCCTTAAATCTGTATCCCTTGACCTTGCTCCGCATACCCTCAGCCCCGCATACCCTCTTGAACATTCTGCAGGCACATCAAACTTGGCGTGTCTAAAAGGAAGCTTTTTCTCATTCCTTTCTCTCCACCCCGACATCTGTTCCTGCTCAGCGCTGCCCTCCTTCCACCCCTGCGGAGAACATCTGACTTCTAGTCACTTCCTGAGTATCTACCGCATCTGAGACGTTAGTCAGGTCCCTTCAGTCATGGGTCCCCGGGTGGCCCATGTTCTTCTGTGCCTCTCTGAGTTTTGAAATATTCTCTCTAAGATACCCGAAACCTGCCAACTCATATTCATCATTCAACACCCACTTTGGAAATCACCCCTTCTGTGAAGTCTTCCCTGAAAGCCTTCAATTCAGCTGGCTGCCTGTCGGAGTCTGTCATATTATCCTCGAATCTCCCATCATCACACTCCCCTCATGGCCTTATAATTGCCTTTTCACTGGTCTGCCTCCACCATTAGATCGTGAGCCTCTGGAGGGCAGGAGCTTTGTTCCTTTATTCATCTTTCTATCCCCAGAACCTAGCACAGGTCCTGCGACATGGTAGGTGGTCAGTTAATGTGTATTGAATGAATGAATGAATAAGTGAATGAATTTGCTTAGATCAGAGCAGAAGAGACGAAGAGACGTGAAACTGTGTATCTCGAGTTTTTATGTTACCGCAGTTCACAGAGGCCATTAAATTTTCTGTATTTCCAAGCAAATGTATTGGCTTCTTTCTTTCTGACGGTCTATTCATAGAACCCTCTGTCATGATGGAAATGTGTTCTATCTGTGGCCAATACAGTAGCCACTAGCATGATGTGACAATGGAGAACTTGAAATGTTTCTAATATGAGTGAAAAACTGAACTTTTAATTATTTCAATTATAATAGCAAATGTGTTTAGTGGTTACTATATTAGACAGCGCAGACTTCTCAAGATTATGGACACTGACACAAATTAAGTTCATATCAGCTCTCCTGATATTAGCTAGGTGACCTTGGACTGGTTATCTCATCCATGCCTCAGTTTCCTTATTTCTACTTATCACATAGTGTTGCTATAGGAATTACATTTTTGGGCTTCCCTGGTGGTACAGTGGTTAAGAATCCACCTGCCAGTTCAGGCAACACGGGTTTAAGCCCTGGTCCAGGAAGATCCCACATGCCGCGGAGCAACTAAGCCCGTGTGCCACAGCTACTGAGCCTGTGCTCTAGAGCCCGCAAGCCACAACTACTGAGCCCACGTGCCACAACTACTGAAGCCCGCACGCCTAGAGCCCGTGCTCCGCAACAAGAGAAGCCACTGCAGTGAGAAGCCCGCGCACCGCAATGAAGAGTAGCCCCTGCTCGCCGCAACTAGAGAAAGCCCACACGCAGCAACAAAAACCCAACGCAGCCAACAATAAAAAATAAATTAATTAACTTTTAATAAAGAATTACATTTTTTGAATGTAAGGCTCTTAGGACAGTGCCTGGCCCATCGTAAGTGGTCCATGAGCATTCCAACCATGCTTCTATTAGGGTGTCTCTTCTCCTACTAAGAAAGTGGAGGTGAAGGGTAGAGACAAGCAGTGGTATGCTGGACCAGCTCGAGACAGCCAACCGCATACACTTCTTTCCACCTCTGCATCTATCAGCATCATGTTGATAGCCCGCCATTAGCCACAGTGGGAATATTTACATCATGGTAATCGGTTTAACTCTAGAAGAACACATTAATTTGTAGTGTTGTCAATCTATAAATACGGGGTTTGCTACATAACTGTAGCAGAACAGATACTTAGAAAGACCATTAAGAAATCTTTACTTCAGCTGGGGTGAACTCTGCATTCTGAAACCTCTATCCCGCAGGGCCTCACAAACAAGTCTAAGACTCTGATTACTACCCTTCAGACTAAGCCACTTGTTCACTGCCTCACCAGTGTATTGACAGACATGTGTATTAAAGGCCAGATATAACCACTGCTTGGGAAGATTGCTCAGGGCTTACTTCTCAAGGATGCAGAAGGGAATCTGTATGGAGGCCCTTGGGGAAGAATCTGTTTCTTGTCTTTTCCAGATTCTAAAAGCTTCTTCTAGAATATGCCCACATTCCTTGGTTTGTGGCCCCCAGTCAACAACACACCACTCCTTCTCTGACCCTCCCGCCTTCCTATTTACTGACAAGAATACTTGTGATTCCATTGGGTCCACTGGGATAATCCAGGATAATCTTCCCATCCCAAGGTCTTCACCTTAATCACATCCGCAAAATCCCTTCTGCCATGTGTCACTGGTCTGGGGATGGGGGGTAGCATGTGGACATCTTTGGAGGCCA